CCTCCCTGGTGGGGCCCCGGCCTGCCACTGGCTTCATGATCGACCCCGTGAAGAACGAGATGCTGACGGTAGACGAGGCCGTCAGGAAAGGCCTGGTGGGGCCGGAAATCCACGACCGGCTGCTGTCTGCAGAGAGGGCAGTGACCGGCTATCGGGACCCCTACAGCGAGCAGAAGATCTCCCTCTTCCAGGCCATGAAGAAGGATCTGATCCCTGACGAGGAGGGCCTCCGGCTGCTGGACGCTCAGCTGGCCACCGGCGGCACTATCGCCCCCCTCCCTGGGCTTCAGTGGCCTATCAGCGTGGCTTCTTCAACAAGGAGACGTGCGACCGGCTGTCGGAGCCCAGCGAGGTCCGGAGCTACGTGGACCCCTCCACGGACGAGAAGCTCAGTTACGTGCAGCTCCTGAAGCGGTGCAGGAAGGACGAGAACAGCGGCCAGATGCTGCTGCCTCTGTGCGACACGCGGAAGCTGACCTTCCGGGGCCTGCGGAAGCAGATCACTGTGGAGGAGCTGGTCCGCTCCCAGGTCATGGACGAGGCGACCGCCCAGCGCCTCCAGGAGGGCTTGACCTCCATCGAAGAAGTCTCCAAAAGCCTGCAGAAGTTCCTGGAGGGCACCAGCTGCATCTCGGGGGTCTTCGTGGACTCCACCAAGGAGCGGCTCTCCGTGCATCCGGCCCGGCACCGCTTTTGAGCTCTTGGAGGCCCAGGCAGCCACCGGGTACGTGATCGACCCCATCAAGGGCCTCAAGCTGACCGTGGAGGAGGCCGTGCGCATGGGCATCGTGGGCCCAGAGTTCAAGGACAAGCTGCTGTCGGCAGAGAGGGCAGTGACCGGTTACAAAGACCCCTATTCGGGCAAGCTCATCTCCCTCTTCCAGGCCATGAAGAAGGGCCTGATCCTGAAAGATCATGGGATCCGTTTGCTAGAGGCCCAGATCGCCACGGGCGGCATCATCGATCCAGAAGAAAGCCACCGCCTGCCTGTGGAGATGGCCTACCTGCGGGGCCTGTTCGACCAGGAGATGAACGAGATCCTCCTGGACCCCAGCGACGACACCAAGGGCTTTTTCGACCCCAACACCGAGGAGAACCTGACCTACCTGCAGCTCATGGAGCGGTGCATCACCGACCCCGAGACCGGGCTGTGCCTGCTGCCTCTGAAGGAGAAGAAGCGGGAGAGAAAGACCTCGTCCAAGTCATCTGTCCGCAAGCGCAGGGTGGTGATTGTCGACCCCGAGACGGGCAAGGAGATGTCTGTGTATGAAGCCTACCGCAAAGGCCTCATTGACCACCAGACCTACCTGGAACTCTCAGAGCAAGAGTGCGAGTGGGAAGAGATCACCATCTCCTCCTCGGACGGGGTGGTGAAGTCCATGATCATCGACAGACGGTCTGGGCGGCAGTACGACATCGACGACGCCATCGCCAAGGGCCTGATTGACCAGTCTGCCCTTGACCAGTATCGCTCCGGCACCCTGTCCATCACCGAGTTCGCAGACATGCTCTCCGGGAACATGAGTGGCTTCCGATCGCGATCCTCCTCCGTCGGCTCCTCCTCCTCCTACCCCATAAGCCCAGCCCCTGCGAGAGCTCAACTGACATCCTGGAGCGACCCTGCTGAAGAGACCGGGCCCATTGCTGGGATCCTGGACACGGACACGCTGGAGAAAGTATCCATCACGGAGGCCATGCACCGCAACCTGGTGGACAACATCACTGGGCAGAGGCTGCTGGAGTCCCAGGCCTGCACGGGGGGCATCATCGACCCCAGCACTGGGGAGAAATTCTCGGTGGCCGACGCAGTCAACAAGGGCCTGGTTGACAAAATCATGGTGGATCGGATCAACCTCGCCCAGAAGGCCTTCTACGGCTTCGAGGATGTCGGCCGCCCAAGCCTTGAAGAAGGGCTGGCTGTACTACGAAGCGGGCCAGCGGTTCCTGGAGGTGCAGTACCTGACGGGGGGGCTGATCGAGCCCGACGCGCCAGGCCGGGTCGCGCTGGATGAGGCGCTGCAGAAGGGCACGATCGACACGCGCACGGCCCAAAAGCTACGTGACGTCAACACCTACTCCAAGTACCTCACCTGCCCCAAGACGAAACTCAAGATTTCCTACAAGGAGGCCCTGGACAGGAGCATGGTTGAGGAGGGAACAGGCCTGCGCCTGCTGGAAGCTTCCTCCCAGTCCAGCAAAGGGTACTACAGCCCCTACAACGTCAGCGGCTCTGGCTCCACCCCTGGCGGGCAGGCTCCAGGCGAGGGAGCGTCGATGCCACTGGCTCTGGCTTCTCCATGACCTTCTCTTCCTCCTCCTACTCCTCCTCCAGCTACGGGCGCCGATACGCCTCAGGCCCTGTGGATGCTGCAGAACCCCCCAGC